CGCAGCTGGGCTGGCATCGACTGCCCCGGGGACACGGAGCAGGCACTGCTCCTCCACGCCGTCCTGCCTTCGGAGCCGCTCCCAGCGGCCCCCCAGCTGCTCCCTGGGCATCGTACATGAGCCCACTGGGTCCCACGGCAAAGAGCGACAAGCTGCCCAAGACATGGCATCCTGGTCTGAAGGCCCAGAGTAGGGAAGAAGAGCAACCTAAGATGCACCAAAGCATTCAGAACTCGGCTTCGTTTCTGTTATTTCTCAGCAGCCTTTATCTGTTATAATCTCCTTAGCCTGCTGACTCTAGCTAGCTGTTTTTGAAAGACCTGCAGGCATGGAGCAGGCAGTGTGGAAATTCCCCAGCACGTTGTTTCCCTAGTTTAGCTGGTGCTTTTACAAGTTTTCCTTCACCCTTCCAAAGTTCTCGTTGCATTTTTGATTCTTTGGGGGATTCATGCCGCTCTAGTCAACGATGGCAATTATTCCCACCCCTTTTCTCAGGATTTACCACTTAACGCCACATTCGCACTCTACACAGAGTAAAAAGCTAAAGGAATACCAAACTATAAAAATAAGCAAAGCAAGCAGAGAGAAGTTCAATTAAGCTGCCACTGCATTGACAGGGCATGAGAATAGCGTGGTTGTTAATAATATTTGTGCGTCCTAACAGGTGCTTAAAATCCCAGCATGCGCTAACTGTGTGAAGAGGACAAATGGAGCGTTGTTAGTGCATAAACATGCATTGCACTTGTACAGTTGACTTTCTTGTGAGGGCATTTTGCCATCACAAGCTGAAGATGTATTAGGATCAGTATTGTTTGAGCCCTGAAAGTAAGACCTGGTTTTATTGGTTCAATTTGACTTGATTTTCAGTGGGCTGAAAGACCAGCAATAAGGGGATTAGGCATTTGTTACACTATAGCTTGCTTAGCGCAGTCCAGCTGAACTGGTGTTAACTTGGGAAACGCTGTGCGCCTCAAGCAGCTCTGGGGAACTATCTGCTGTCGAACTAAGTGAAGACTGCCTTTGGAGAAGCTCGTTATTGTGCGCTAAGATGTTTTTGGTGCTACTAGCCAAGTGGGCCAACAGATTGTAAGTAATTCTTGTAGAACAAATCTGATTACTCCAATTACTACAGAGTTAGCACTCATGCAAAACTAAGTCTATGAAAAAAATCCTGACCACCTAAGGCTGAGAAACAAAGAGGAAAAACAGGATTAAGATGAATTAGTGCAGGTCAGTTCCCTCGTTTCACCGATGTGGAAGGCAGGTACACGTGATGTATAAAAACAAATTGCATGTTGGCGCGTCTTCCCAAAGAGACAGGGCACGCTGCTGTGCCAGGCCCATCGACCGGGCGCTTGTTCCTCTCTGCTCACATCTCCCGACTCCCATCCCTTCCACACAAAACTTTCCAGCGTGTTGGCTAGTCCTCTGCCTGTGGTAATTTAGACTCCTCAGAGATGAATACAAGTTTTTCTGAGACTGAAATGCCATCGAAGTTCGGGTTACCAGTAAGAGAGGGAGCTGCAGCATGAGTTCAGTAGCTGGTTACCCATCCCGTTTCATTTCCTCTCTGCTCGGTTAGTGCTTGTGTGATTACAAAAGCACAGTGTGTGTTTCCTCTTCTCAGTTATTTGGTGGAAATGGGGTTATCTTGGGGGCAGGAGGGTGTTTGTCTGTAGGATGGAGGGCACAAATCCTTAGGGAATCAAGTTCTACTCATCTGAGAAAAAAACTTGTAAATTAGCCTAGAAACATCCGGATAAGGGGAACCTTACGGTGAGGCATCTTGTTGGCATCTGATGCAGTAATAAATTATTCAGAAATCGATGCAGTTTGTTTTGAAACATTCTGCGTTTAAAATAAATGAGCTGCTTGTGTTCTGTTGTGTAAGATCTGTAAAAATAAAACTACCTCAAAGGGCTAAATGCACACACCTTCACATCTTTTGTGTACTTCTGTGTTTTGTTTGCAGGTGCTAGAAACATTTGCTGGACGCCTGATTAAAATAGGAGTTTTAGCAAGGCGGGATATTCCCAAGCTTACAAAGTACCAGATAATTCTAGCAAGAGATCAATATAGAAAAAACCCTTCCTCACAAAATGTGGTAAATGACTTTATTTATTTCACATTATTAAAATAGTGAATAAATAGTAATACTTCATAGTGTACAACATTTCCTGATACATTTTAAGTTAGATTTCCTTTGTAACATTCTATTTTTAGCCCTGGAATAAAATTTGCCTACTTGTTCCAAATTTCTTGATGCTAATATAGAAAGGTTAAGGAAAAGATGAAGAACTCCATTTCCAAACTGAAATTGTTTTGAGAACTTAGATTGTAATTACTGACTCTCAAGTTTACACTTCCTCCTCAAAATGACATTACTGCACTTACTTTTCTGTAAATTGTCATGGAGTGTTCAAATTTTGCAAACTTAAAAAAGAATATTACCTAATAAAAAAATAAAAGAAAGAAAAGAAAGACGACTGGGAAATAAACTTCACAGTAGGCAAACCAACTTTCCTGACTTAAATTTTGTAGCCTGGATAGACATGCTGGAAATCTGTTTTGCCAAATACTGATGGATGGTTCAGCTGTCAGATTTTGAGTGTTGCTGCATCGGAAAATAATGAACTAATCTTGGAAGATAATACAGGTATTTTGGAGGTGGAAAAGATTGCCTTCATTGATGGTTAAGGATTGTGTAGCCTGTTTCCTGAAGGTTTTGATAGACAGACTACTCATTGTGTGTTACTTTGTGCTTTGGCTCTGTTTCTCAGATGTCAATCTTATTTTTGTCAGAAGAATTGCAGTATGATTCCTGCTGCTTATTGACTTCTTTATTTAACAACGAGTCTGTTTTGTTTTCACAGGGAATACATCAAGGCATAATTGAAGGAGATTTTGCACTTTGTATCAGTTTATATCATGGTTATGAGCTGCTGCTGCAAATGGGAGTACGGTCATTATTTATCTACCTTTTTGGAATTATGGATGGATCAAAAGGTGAAATGTCTTCCGAAACATCCTTCCTTCTGTCTTCACTCCTTCTCGTTTAATTACCTCCTCTGTACGGCTAATTTTGCACAAAACAGCTTATGTCATGGATGGGTTGCAGATGCAATTGATATTTTGTTCCCCTTCATCTCTATTGGAAATAGGTTAGCACAATGTTAAAGATAGAGTATATTTGGGAAAGCAAATGTGTTTATACGGCAGCAGTTCTGAAAAAATTAAGGCATGAACAGAACTCAGAGTAAGTGGCGGTGACATCTTTGGAGAGATGAAGAATAGCCATTAAACAATTTAAACTGAGAAATTGTTTGGTCTTGGAGAGCAATTCCTCCCCCTATAGCAAAACTCACATATGCATGAGTTTTAAGTGTCTTTGCCAGAAGATTGCAGATTTAGCCACATCACACTAGAATTTCTATCCCAGCTGTGCAACACCTTCCATACTCACTAAGAAAAATGTAAAGTTCTTGTTTTTCTCTGTACCTCTACTCATTTTCTCAAGTGAGATGATAAGAACTGTGCGCATTATTCCATCTGTGGATACAGCATGAATTCATACAGTGATGCAATATTATTTCCTGTTCTGGCATCAGTTTATTTTCCTAATCCTGTCACTATTGTGAGTCTTTTGCAACTCTCCACAGGCATTTTTAGACCTGTTGGGTTGTTGTTACTACCTGGAAGACCTGGTTTGGTACTGACATCTTTTTTGAGGGGACAGATTTCAACATGGCAATGTCAGTCCAACCACACCTTTCTTTTAAACACTGGATGTGGGAGGGGAAAGTTCCAGCTGTTTAGATTACCCATGGTGTGGCTCTCAGGTCTCTTGCTGCATTTTGCTTTACACTTAGCTGTGTAAATGTGTGGTAACTTACAAAAGCTACTTTGCCTACAGCACTGCTTAACTAAAATGACACTGCTTTGTCCTACGTCTGAACTAAAAGCGTAGGGTGCTTGCTTCATATTACAGAATATCTGTACAGTATATTTTTATAGTGTGCATGTGCTAATAATTTCTCATTAATTTTATGGTTTTGACATATTTACAATTTTTACTTTCGCACATGCTGTTTTTTACATTTCTGATGGTATAGTGCTGCTGTTAGACCTATGCACTGGACAGCGTTTCATGTATTTCCTAGTTTCTCAGATTCTTTAAATACTTAAATTTGCTATTGAAAGATGACTGATGAAAAATAGTTCTAGGAAATGAGTCTTCTGTACTGGTGTTCTGATAAGTTTGGTTTCTGATTTGAGTAGAACAAAAATCTTTCTAACACTGACATAAAAATCATTGAAAAAACTTATTAATTTTAGCTTTCAGTCTAAGTTCCCTTCTCTTTGAGTAAATGGGAGCATTTCATAGAATCACAGAATCCCAGGCTGGTTTGGGTGGGAAGGGACCTCCCAGCCCGTCCAGTTCCAACTGTCTCGTGGGCAGGGACAACCTCCACTAGCCCAGGTTGCCCAAAGCCCCATCCAACCTGGCCTTGAACACTGCCAGGGAGCCAGGGGCAGCCACAGCTTCTCTGGGCAACCTCTGCCAGGGCCTCAGCACCCTCAGCGTTTCTGTATTGGATGGCTTTTCTAGTGCTAAATGGTTGATGTAAAACTTCTTAGTTTACACACAGGACGAGGCTTCTCTCTATATATATGTTTTCAAAGTTTAAATTAATGTTTTCATGTTTAAATTCTATAATGGCATCTACCCTGAAAAAATATTTTGATGCCAAACAATGTTTATTACATTTTTCTAAACCTAACATGTATCTCCTAGCTCTTGCAAGGAGCTTGCTACTTCTGAGAAAGCTTGTCTTTTGGATAGCAAAAGTTACATTCACTCTGGAGATTTACTACCGAGATATTTCAACTTTTTACAAAGGGTTAACCCGTACGAAGAATGAACTCGGTCGTAATGAGGATTTCATGAAGCTATATCAGCAGCTTAGAGACATGTTTTCAGACACATCTCTGGCTTCAGCGAATGAAAATGTTTACAAGAGTAAAACAGGTCAGTATTTCCCTTTTAGGGACAGAATATTTACTTTCTATTTAGAGGAAACAGTAGATACCTTTACATAGTTTGCAGATGCAGGAAGCTATTTCTTGTGATACACTTGGCTAGTATTCTTTATTCCAGGTAGTTTTTCCGAAGACTCTTTATCTGTCTGTCTATCTATCTGTCTGTCTATCTTCTCTTGCTGATTTTAGTTACCTTCGAACAAGTTTTCTATGTTGGAAGTTTTTAATTTGATTTAAAATGAAAGGTTAAAATATTACTGTTTGACTATATATTTTTTTACACTGTGACTATAACAAAAGTAACAATGCTTTCTCAAAAATCAGGTTTAACAAATGTGCTTCTATAAGTAGTTTACTAATTTTCTTTGGTGAATGCAATTAGAACTAATGTGAGGAATTTGTATGTCTGACTCAGAGAATTTTAGTGGGAGGAAATGAAGTTCACTAAACCTTTATACTTGTTGCAGGTTTATTTACATCTTTAATTGCTTTATTTCTTTTTCAGTGTTTGAAAATAAAAAGAAATTCATCTACAGCCATCCAAAATTAAAGAAATTGGAGGAAATTGTAATAGAACACTTCAAATCCTGGAAAAAGGGATGTTCTAGTAAGTACAAACAACTCAAAGAAAAAGCATCTGAACAGTTGCACCTGTGGAGGAAAACAAATCATATCCTACCGATTTATTTCCTAATTTGTTCAAGTGCTGCTTTATTGTTTTGTATGTTTGTATGTCTCCTGAGTGGAAAAGTCCTCTTTAGAAGAACTATACCATAACATTACTTAAAGAAAAAACATTCTGTAAGTTATCACTATTAATTTGATATAAACAGCTTCGTAACAGAGTGGTAGTAAACTCATTCCTAGTGCTACTGTGGCTCACGATTTTCATAGTCCCAGAATTTGTTCTGGAAACCATCTCTCAGTGCAGTGCTACCATTACCTCCTGCAAAGCTAGATGCAACCTTTTTTATGGAGCCTGAGGATAAAGGTTCTGCTATCCAGGCTGTTGCCAAGAATGACAATATCTGAGGCATCGGTCTGAAGTTTAAAACCTTCAATTACATTCATCTGTCTCTCATTCTTTTTCATCTTGACTGAAAGGGAGAACAAAAATATGTCATACAGTAGCATGAGATTATGAAGCAAAGTATTCTGAATCATTCAGGCATCTCTGGTTTTAGGAAGTTTCAGCTTCTTGATCTAGTTGTTGCTTTTGGAGTGATGACATCAGTAACAATAATGGTTTTTTGCAAGTTCCTTTATTTTTTTCTTTGTCTTTTTGGATCTTTATGCTCTGTGGAGTTCTGATAATTTCTGACCTGCCCTTCTGTTTTGTTTGGGGGTTTTTGGTTGGTTTTGTGGGGGGTTTTTTTGTTTGTTTTTTTTTGTTTTCTATCTTTAGATGCTTGATTCTCAGTTAAATGACTGCTACTTTCTAGTAGGCAACTTTAAGTTTCCTCATTTCTGTTTTTGTTAGTTTATAATATATCCAAATACATTTAATCAAATTACTTTTTTTTATCCCCACTTTCCATTCATACTTCTTTCTATCCTCCCTGCCTCCCTCCACACCTCTGTCTTGTTTCCTGTAACATCATCTTTCTAAGCTGTTGACTTTTGTTTTCAAATCCTGTATTCTGCACTCGAGTTACTTTAACTAAGTTTCATATTTAATACTTTTCCATCTTCTTTTGATAGCATGGATTTTTGCTGTCATATGAATCCCATCAAATATGTTTTTCCTTGCAATGTTGATCAGACATGTCTCTAAATATTACTAACAGGTATTTAATATACAAATGTTTCGATCTTGTGTTTTGTGTCAGTGTGCATGAACCTCAGAAGTGAATAGGCATGAACTGTAAGTCTTCACTGTTATAAATGCAAAATTACAGTAACCGTGCAGGAAGAAATACATAATCTTTTACAGCATTGTATGCCTAGTGCCCAGTTGCTTGTGCAAACTGGACCATGTCTAACTAGTGATCAGCCAGGTTAGATTTGAGTGTCCTGGCCACGTAGCTGTTGCCCCAGCTTTGTGAGATGCACTTATCAGCAATTCAGGTAAGTGCAAGCTAATGTTCTGGCCAGCCCTTAAGAAATGTTGGCTCAGCATAATGAGCTTCTCCCAGCTAATCTTCCGTACCTGGATTATTTGTCAGATAGATTATGGGCTGCTAATGTCTTGAATTTTCTATATCTGGTTTTGGATAAGGTCCAGGAGGTAATGGCAGCAGTATAATGTTTTTTGCAGTACAGGGACAGGTGCGACTGAGCATTATTGCTATTCAAGTCATGAGAATATGCTAAAAATAGGTATAGAATAATGTTCAGAATAAAGTCAGTGGAGGAGAAGAATATGAACTCATGTAAGTAAGGTATATCCAGCCTGCACTTATTCTGAAATACATGGCTCGTTGGTCTGCTCAGGATGGCAGGTTATGCAGAACACATTTTATCAGTTTTGCAGTTGTCTGGTTTCTAGCTAACAGTATTGAATCCCATTCACCACTTCATTCCTAGGCCTTCACTGGGGACTGGTTTCTGTACTTGACAGATGCACTTGACCTCCCATATCGCCTGCAATTTACTGAAACAGTGCAGTAGAATGTCCTAGGATAATTTAGACTAGTTGGAAGGGACCTCTGGAGATCCTCTTGTCTAACCTCCTTGGCTGTCAGCCTCAAGAGTGAAATTTGTTCTGAGCAGAGGCAGCCATCTTCATAATCTACCTGTGAATTCAAGGCTCGTCTTAAAAAGAAAGGGGCAAAATGGTTAGCTTCGGCTTCTCCTTTTTGACTGAATCTGCTGAAAGCATTTCTGCATGTAGCTATGCTCAACTAAAAACTAAACTAGAGTTTCTGATGGTTGGTCAGAAAGAGAGAGAGAGAGAGATACACACTTATCTGTTACACTTAATGTTTTAACTTCAGGAAACAGCTTGATACTGGAATTACAGGCATAGTGTGAAACTCTTGTCAAGCACTGAGTGACTGTTTTTCGTATTGTCAGGGAAACATCTTTTAACACATTCGGTCCTGAGAATTTTTATTCCTTGTCTAACCTTTCTTTTAATGAGATAAAGGTGTTTTGTGGAGATTTGTGTAAAAGAGGAGATTTTTATCCCTATAGATCTATTTGATTTCATCCGCGGGCTATGTCTAGGTAATGCACGCAAGCTGTGCCAATTTCAGTTATTCGTTATACCCTTTTAGAAAGTCTCTTTTTTGACATGCATGCTGGGCGTGTTGCTTTAGTATTTGGATAAGATAAACAGAAGCTGACTGTTCAAGACGTGCATGTTGCTTAGATAGCTTTTGCTTGTGCTCACGAAGGCAGGTACCTTACATGTTTAAAAAATAGAAAAAAAAAGTTGAGTACCCAGAAGACAAAATCTGTGATGGTATAACATAAGAACTGTGGTTTGCTTTGTCTTAGCAAAGACGCCTTGCTAAGAAACTGTGCATCAATGCAATTATTTTTTCTTTTTCAAAGAAAACGGAGAAGTTCTCTCTGCTACTGAAATGAGAGATACAACCAGTTGTGATGACAGATCATTCGGAAGCAACAGATTATGGTGCTAAGGGAAGTTTTTTGCACGTTTCTGCTCTCATGAGGATCCTAAGCTGTAGAATAAAAGACAGCTTGCTGTAGTAAATCACAGAACGTTGATATACACCTCTTTTATTCCACCATGCTGTATCCTAGATGTACGACAACAGTGGGTTCTGTTGCTATATATGGCTAACCTCATCTGACTCTGGGCATTTAAGTAGCGGATTTAAAAGTCACACAGGCTCTTTGGAAGAAGGTGTCATAAACTTTATTTCAAGGCACTTGCCATCAAACCCGAGCTTTTCAAAGTAACATTAGTACTGGTACCTCAGGTATAAGACATTCTCACCGCAGTTGGTGTAATTCTCCAAAATTAGAATAGTGCTTTGAATCCAAAGAGGAATTGTTCGAGCAGGAGCATTTTCTGGGAGGTTGGTCTAAATAGGCTGAGAGGGTCCTAACTGTCAGTTTTCTCTACTTTTTTTTAATCTATTTACTTTTTTTTAAAAAATGAAATTTCTTTTAAAGAAAATTTCTTTGAAAACTTCAAAATGCAGTATACTTGGACAAAATCTTCCTATTAAGTGACATGAGAGCTGTGAATGTGTAGCTTTTGGGATGACCTGTCCTTACGTTTGTATTGGTAATTATTTCAAAATCATGCATAAAAATGCTTTTCTGGCTTTTTTAAAGAAACAGATCAAGTCACGACTGAAAGCACATCTGTGGACACTGTGGATACCAGAGTGATGATCTTCTCATCGTTTCGAGATAGCGTGCAAGAAATTGCAGAAATGCTTTCCCGGCTCAGTCCAATTGTTAGAGTAATGACGTTTGTTGGCCACTCCACAGGAAAGAGCACAAAAGGCTTCACGCAAAAGGAACAACTTGAGGTAAAGAAAAGATGAGACTTGTATTAGGAAATAGTGATAAAGAGTTTTTGTTGTGTAAATAACTACATGAGTATTGATATAGATTGTGTGGCAGCGACTGAACTTTAAAGTGTCATTAGTAAATTCCTGTGTAGTTCAATTGCTTTCAGAGTATCCAAAAGTGTACTCGCTGAGCAGAATGTGCAAGTAGAAATATTTTATATATTTACATTATATTAACAACTGCTAACTTTTATATATTTGAAAATCTAGGGAAATAGTCAAATACTTGCTTAGGGGATTTTGTTTTTTCTTGTAGGTAGAAAAAATAAGGTATATCCTTAAGTTTTGATCTAGCAAAGTTTAAAAAAAAAAAAAAAACCACAAAAAACAAACCCCTAAAAATATTTAATTACAAAGTTGGGAAGATCAATTTTAGAAGAATGCCATGGTTGGAGTCAGAATAAGGTGTGCTTTTTTCCTCTATTTTAGAATTGAAGAGTTGATATGTTGATGTTGATAAATGTTAGTGTGTGGTATTTGATCATGAGATGGTAGCAGTTGACAAATTCAGAAAGACTAAGTGTTGTAGTTTTAAAATATAAACTAATTTTTTCAAGTTCTATCTGAACCTATTAAAACTGCAAAGTGTGTATAACGGGCTTTCTGGCTAACCTGTTAAATCTAATTGTAATCATTCATTCAGGTGGTAAAACGCTTTCGTGAAGGTGGGTATAACACTCTGGTCTCTACCTGTGTCGGGGAAGAAGGCTTAGACATCGGAGAAGTCGATCTCATCATCTGCTTTGACGCTCAGAAAAGTCCAATTCGCCTTGTGCAGAGGATGGGCCGAACAGGGCGCAGGCGGCAGGGCAGGATCGTTGTCATCCTCGCCGAAGGGCGGGAGGAACGGGTGAGTGTGTGCCTTTCTTCTCACTGGGAAAACCAAGCGGCTTGTTTAGTCTGTTCCAGGAAACTATAGACTGTACATTAGAAATCACAGTCTTGAGCACTCGCCTTTTAACTGTCCCGACGGGAAAGTGTAATAACCCACAATATTCTAAAAATATGTGCGCTTTCTCAGTGTGAAGGGCTTCAAGCTTTTGTTCTTACTAATGCTTATTTTGTAAATGATAAACTGGAACAGAAAATACAGGGGTTCTCCCAGGGGTACAGGACAACGTGTGGAAGAGAGAGGGACAGAGCTATGAGAGCAGGAGGACTGGAAGTGTCTCACTCTGAATTGCTGACGACACAAGTGCTTAGTGGTAGCAGACTTGCGTGTGAGGTCTGAAGAGATCAGCTTAAGTGGAAATCTACTTTTGCTAAATTCCTGAACCTCAGCGCTCAACTCAGAGTATAATTAATCGTCTCTGAGTGCAGACTTCCCCTTGGGAAACTAATGTACCAATGGAAATCCAAGGTGGGGGAACCGACCTTCAGCTGTACCAGCACTGCCCAGCTGCATCCCGCAGCCGCCCGATCCCTGGGTCTGATCCAAGGAAGCTGGCGGGGCAGGGTTTAGGTAGGAGGAGGCAAGGCAGTCCCTGTTGGTGCCACTCATTGGGGAGATTGGCTGCACAGCAATATGAAACTGCATCTTCACAGTTTGATCCTGCAACCCCTGTTTGAACGCGAGGCATTTTTTTTAGAGTACATCTCACTGCTCTGGCTGAAAATGGATTTTGTTTTTCGCTGGTTTTGTTTACCTGCAAGGTTGGTTCTGAGCTGGATCAGGTCTCATGACAGAGAAGTCCAAAATCTGTGTAAGCCAATTGTAAACCCAAAATTTCAGAGTCTTGCTATTATTTATTCCAGTCGATGTTGTGCCTCTGGTTTAAATTTGTAGGTAGCAGGGATTTAATTCTAAGTGAGGGTCCAAAGAATCCTGCCTGAGTTAAAAAGCTGCTTTGAAGGCATAAGAGTTAAAAATGATAAAAGTGAATAGTACTTGTAAATAGATACTTTCTCGTGCTGCTTACTGAAGACTGATTATTACTGAAAGCTCTGCTCTGTAATGGGATATTAAAATGGTCCCTTAAATTCCTTGGAGTTTCACTTAAGCAGTTGGATTACTGAGTTCTTCAGATTTTCTGAGAAATCTTTGAAGCAGAACCTTCCCCCAGGTAGGATAATAATTATATAAAATTTCTTTTATTTTGAGATCATGAAATAAATTTAATTGCTGAACAATATTGCTTGCTTTGTTTGGTTTTGGGGTTTTTTGTTTTGTTTTGGGCTGTGGTTTTTTGGAGTTTTTTTGAGTCTTCTTCCAGATCTGTTAATGTGGAGATTCTTCCTCATCACATAACTTGCAGTTTAAGTAATTAATGATTTCATATTAGTTCGTGGGATTTTGTTTCTTTGTTTGTTTTTAAAAAATCAAACCACTTCAAGTCAATTGTAAAGCTTCTGAAGAAATTTTATTGGGAAAAACTGGAGAATGGAGGTCTGAAAGTTTGAAGTTTGCCAGGCATTTCTGTTACAGCAGTGTTTATTACCCTGTCCCCATGTGTTTCCCCGTCGGTTCAGCTGTCCCACGTGGAAGTGCTGTGCGTCTCAGCCATGTGGCACACGTCACACGGTTGCACCCTCCTAATGCCCTGGGTTCCCTGAGCATTCGGCTTACGGATTTCTAGTTCGGCCATATTCCGAGATGGACTGTGCTTTGATTTGGGGTTTTTAACGTCTGGTGACAGCTCAGCTGCAGGTGCATCGGCCTGGAAGGGAGCTGATAGCTGCAGATGTGAACCGGTGCAGAGAAGGGCACGGGGAGCTCGCAGCCTCCCAGGCTCCTGTCAGGCCAAGCAGACACTCTGTGAAACAGAGGGAAGGGAAACATAATGTCTTAGTAACAGCAAAGTAAATTCTGTTAAGCAATGAATTTGGTAATGCAACTTTTTCTCCATAAAAAGACTTTTTTGCCTGTTCTAGGATTAAAAAGATATTTATTGGAATACCTGAGGGACAGAGCTAGCTGGTAACCTCTTCCGCTTTTATTCTGAGAGCATCTTTTTGTGTCCATCTTCTCTAATCCTGCCTTCCAAAGATCATCTCTCAAAAGGACATAGCTGCCATGCTGTCATAATGTGAGCACTTGCTCTGCCTAGCTGGGCATGCTGTCTCCATGGGTGACCTGTCACAGAGACTCGGAGAAGAGTATTAGGACAAGAACTGTTAAGAGGGGGGAGGCGTTTCTTTCCTTAGTTTCTCCATCTTTGTCTTGGTTTCTCTGTTGCACAATAAACATGGAGTGTAATTCAAAGGACTTGGAGCGTATATGACATTAACAAATAATCTTATGTCTTTTTTTTTTGCTTGACCTCCTTTCTTTGTTTGTGATGTAATCTAATTTACATCATCCCTGTATCTACTGCATATTGTAAATTCCCCCAGGCAAGGGCTGTGTTTCTTTCTCTCAAGTGGTGTGCCTACTTCTGATCTATTTACAGTGTAAAAAGCTGTACATTGGTTTATATTTTGTACTGTGTGCAACTTCAAGAACTATAACTGTTCTTTGGTACTTCCTTTCTTTTTGTTACATTTGCTTCGAATGTTTTACCTAGGCACAAACCGATGATAAATCAAATTTAGTTTGACTTAGACATTTTAGTATGGAAGCTCTTTAAAAAAAAAAAAAAAAAAAGAACTTAGTAGCTATGTTTTCATGTATTCATTATCAGATTTTCAATAACACATCCTTGTTTTCATCCACGTCCTTCTGTCCCTTTCCTCTCTCTGGTTGCCATAACGTGGAGGCATACTGCAAGTCTGGAACTTGCAGTTCAGGAACTTGAACAAGCAGTTGTGTTGGCCTAACTGCCAGTATTCACAGAAGAGGATATATGGTTGGCTCTTGGGGCCTTGCATCATATTTTGTTTTAGTTGTGTTTGGGGAAGGAAAGGAAAAACCCAGAAAACAACTTGATGATGGAACATAAAATAGTGAGAAACCCCACAGACACTCAGGTGGTCTTTGTTCTTTCACATGACTCGATCAAAAGTAAATCTGACAACATATGATTTATCTTCTCTTTTACAGACTTACAATCAAAGCCAGTCTAACAAAAGGAGCATCCACAAAGCTATTTCAGGAAACAAAATGCTTCATTTTTACCAGCATAGCCCACGTATGATTCCAGAAGGCATAAATCCAAAATTGCATAAAATGTTTATTACTGCTGAAAAATATGAACCAAGTAATTCAAGAATGCTTTCCAAAGAGAGAAGATCTAGTTCCCTCCAGCATAAACCTGCTCTCTTTTCCTGTGTCACTGGTAAGAGGATTATGGTGTTTTCCTAAGCACTGCGTAAGCTGCTATCTCATGTTGTTATATTACAGCATATCAAAACTGCGTGCTCACACGAGTTCTGGGTCTCTAGCAAAAGTGTAAGTTCTGTCAGCTGTAGCCTTGCGACTGTGATACTGCGCTGACTGCTGCTTTGATTCCTCATCCCTTTCCTTTAACATCCTCAAATCACAGTTCTGTACTTAAATATCCATACTTCACATCAGGCATTTGTTGCATCTTTCTCCATAGAGCTTCTCATGGAGTCAGTGACTGAAGGTCAGAAACTCCAGCTACAAACAGAAGAGGCAAATGTTAACGATGTCTTCTGAAGACTTCTGATATACCGATGTCAGGTGGCATAACTGTCACTGAAATGCTTAGTGATAACTCTGTACCAAATCTGGTTTGGAGCTTTAACAGTTAGGCTTAATGCTTTTTATTAGCACAAGAAAAGTCTGTCTTATACCTTTGTAAATGGCAACAAAACAGAAATGCTTGAAAACTAAAGGGTTTTGAGGGGAGGAAAGAGGGAAATCAAGGGTGGGATATTTATGAATTGCACACACCCTTGGAGGAAAATGAATTTAAAAAGAGAAATGGGTCTTGAGCTGATGCAGTTACAGGCACTGAAATGCTCAGTAAACTGAACAAAATTATAAGATAGGAAGAAGGAGCTAGGTTTTGTAAATACTTGAAAGTTGTCATGCTCAAACTCTTTGGTTGAGTGTTTTCTGTAAAAGACTAATAGCAACTTCTTGAAAGAAGAAACTCCTAAAAGACTTGGGAAGCTTCAAATTTCAGTGTCGGAGTAGTTAGATTTTAGAGTTAGTGGTTTTTAAATGCTTCTGATCACAAAAATTCTTATCAAAATCTACATCTGATCTCTTTCCAACACCATCCAGGGCAAACAAAAGGCTGAACATAAAAAGAGGAAGCAAGCTACAAAATCACGCAGAAAAAAATCAGCTTCTCCTTTGGCCTCCAAGCCAGTTCATGTCATCTCCCAGTTTGCAGGGTAGACCTGTAATGGCAAAGAGTTAGCATCGATCAATGAATCTGCACATGCTATCCTCAGCCCAGACCCTTTGTAAGTAGGCACGTGCTGCAGACCCAGCTGCGGCACAGTTGTGATGATGCTCCCGATCGTGCCGCTCGCCATTATGGCTCTGGAGCCTTCTGTAAGGCATGCTTACCTGGGTCTGCGCACAACCCAGGTGGCAGCCAGTGAGGAACACCAAGGATGGAATAAACAACACAACTCGCAAGAAAACAAGCGGAGCAAACCATGGAATTACAATAATCGTTTTAGAACGTTTGTAAGTCTGTCCTAGAAAATAGAAATGAGAGGCAGTAAGTGCATAAAGAAGATAATATGCTGAACATATTTCCTGCTAAGGCTGTAATTACCAGGCTCCTTTTGTGTGAAGTAGGTTAGCAGCTGCCGCAATTAAAGTCCATAGTGCGTGTGGAGGTCTATCAGTTGCTGAAGATGAACGTGATTGACTGCCCGTCTTGCAAACAAGTGTTACATGAGTGCAAATTATTGAGCACCAGCTTTGTGTTGAAGTCCCCTTCATTACTGGATGAAGCAAGTGGCTGTTTCTGATTTTAAAGGTATTCAAGATAAATCTCAAAAAGAAGAGAAAGAAAAGTCTTTATTTTTTGCGCTTCTCCTCTCCTTATTTCAGTGCCCCCTTCCACATTAGAAAATCGAAAAAGCTAGCAGTATTGAATAAGCTGTGTATGTTCTTATTTCTGCTGTCTTACTTTTCATTTGTTCTTGAGGTTCAGTTGATCTTCAGGTTTGTCCATGTAGGAACACGTGCACAGAGATTGAAGTGTCATGGGCAGAAGTAGCGTAGTAATTTCAAGCATTTTCCTTCTTTTCTCGTCAAATATTTCCTGTTCTTTTTAATTTGATTCAACTTCTATTAATTTTACATATCCTTCCGCTTCAAAACCTCTTTCACAAATTTTATCTGTCAGTACCAGGACACATTATTCTTGTCTTGCCCCATCACTAACCAAGTGTGTTCTTCACTTGTACGAGCTTTTCTTCGAAAAGTACAGCACCAAGAGCAAAAATCCCATTACTTGGCAGTTCTCTTATTTTTTTCTCTCTCTCAGTTTTGTTTTTCATTTGGTTTTTTTTGGGTGGTTTTTTTGTTTTGAAAGAATTTGCTAAAATTGACTGGCATATTAGTGCAGTAAAATGAAAAAGCATTTAAGACAGAATAGTTTTGTGCTTAAAATGGCTTGGACTCATTGGAGGAAAAATCCCTGAACGGATATCTTTGGAGACAGCTCATATTTTTTATGCTTATCTTTTTTTTACTTTATAAAATGGGAATAACTATCCCACAAGATAATTGCAAAGGTGAAAGTGCTGAAAGATCTGGATAATCATCTCTAACACTATTATCTTTGCAAATTCTCTGCCAATCTACCCGCTCTGTGAGAGTTATGAAACCACAGTAGGCATGATGAAAAACAGCTAATGTACACCAAAATGTGCTCTTCCCATACCTGTTGTTCCTGGTAGGTAAATGGCAGTTTAAACTATCAATAATTTCTTTTGTTTTTCTTTTTGCATTACATTTGTCTAGATGAAATATCATTTTGTTAATTCTTCTTCTGGTTCTTCACAATTACTCTACTCCCACCTTTTTAGATTGTATCAATCTTGAGTTGTCTATAAGATTTTGTTTGATTTTTATAATTTCACATTATTTCTTTAATTGCTGTTTTTATCTTAACGATGCAATCTTCTTTTACTGTCTTTCTAAAATATACCAGTGCTGTCTTTAGACCAGTGTGGCTTTTTTATGCCTTTCCAGTTGCTCATGCCTTTTAATTTAATTGTGGCAAGGCCTTTGGATGGCTGACAAATTTTCTGAGTTGATCTCCTATTTGAATTAAATAGGCATAATAATGCACATTACCTTCTCAAGTGGTTGTCAGAAAACTATGGAAATATTGCAGAAGCCTGCTGTTTTCAATGTTTATTTTCTTTGGAAAAGCCAGTTAATCAAGGATGTGTTTAGGCACATGTACTTCAGTTCCTTAAATTCAGATCTCTTGTCCTGACAATACCTGTGTAGCAGGAAGGCACACAGCTTTGTGCGCTGCGCAAAGAATAAAACATTTTACATGGGCCTTGTACCAGCTTTGTCTTGTCCTGCCTTTTTCAGTAGAGAACTGTCCTCATCTGATTCAGACAACATCTGCCCTTTTTTTCTGAAAATTCGGCTGCCTACCTGCTTCTTTCCTTTATATATAT